TTGACTTTACCTCAGTACTTTAACACCTGTTTTAAAATGTTACACTCAACCTTAACCTGCTCTTCCTCCCTGTATGTGAAATGCATCAACAACATTGCTTGCTTTCTCCCCTTTAACCAGAACTAAAACTCTCCATTAGCCAACACAAGTAAGAGCATGAGTAAACTCAAAGTAAGAACCTGTCATCTAAAATGAGGATAGAATCCACTTTCCAAAGAAATGCATCAGAACATCAGCCACTGTTCCTGAAAGGAAGGGGAAGGAATAGCTGTCCATCTTCTCAGTAAGCTTGCTGACCACAAGAAGAGCAAGCTGAAGACAGGACCATGTGGTAATTCCAGGGATGGATCTTGCTTTCCCTTTCTAAACCTAAGATTCAGAACGTGGGCCATTATCAACCAAGAGAGTGTGGCTGATCAAATTAAGAAATGCATTTTTAATTCAATTATATCCTCAGTGGAAACAGCCTCACTAACCTTAGGGAAAGAATTATACCCAAGGTATAAAGCCTAACATTTCAAAACCCAATTTTGCACATTATTCTAAAGGTTAATTCACAATCTCTCTTCCAAACGGGAAGTTAAATAGAGCCAATGGAAGGAAGGCATCCGCTGGCTGACTGAGGGGTTTATCAGTCTGTAAGAGTTCATTAGTTTTAATTAGTGTAATCACTAATGTTGCATTAACAGTTTAGTGAAGGAAAGTAATTACTCACACATCCACTGTATTAGATGGAAAGATTAGAATTCATTTTCCAAGAACGATTAGCATTTTGCCAATTAAAAGGATCCCTTCTCTCTGTCAGCAACCCTGTGACCTCCCTTGCCTAAGGATCATTTAAATGAAACATAGTTTGCATCAAAAGATGGAGCAGGAAGAAAGGAAGAATGAAGGCTGCATTTCTTTTGAGTTCCTTCTCAGAGCTCAGCATATGCATGGGTCTCCCTGAGTTCATAATGTCTCACTCTATTTGCATAGTCATTCACTTCAATCTCTTTGGATTATACCCTTGGCTGCTTTGTAATACAGGCAGCAATTTAAAAATAAAAAAAAAAAGGCTGTGAGAGGTGAAACCAAAGGAAGGGATAGGGGAGTCGAGGTGGGATAACCAGTTATTGAGTCCAATGGTTGGACAGAGCGGGGCACTTTGTGGCTCATTTGGAGTGCCAGCTTGGAGCAGGCTCTGTCGGTGGGCTGGGAGACATCGTACAGCCTAGGGCTGGGGGCAGTGGAGAGATGCCTTGAAGAATGCAGCCGAGTCTCTGGGTCCTTCCTGAAGGTTGCTACTGTGCAAAGGGGCCATCTCCATCTCAGCCTGGCTTCTGAAGCCTTGCCGATCTGGCCCCCAAACTCTCCATCTCCCTCAGGTGGTGCTCCATCACCACCATATTCCCTATTCACCAGGTTCTCAGAAATTTCTTGTTACTTTCTAAACATCCTATGTACTTTCACACTTGACTTTTTTAGCTTGCTGCTCTCCCTGTGGCCAACCCTTTGCCTGTTTGTTAGAGAATTCACCCCTGGTGCTTCACTCACTTCAAATGTCACCTCACCCCAGCTAGCATAGCCTCCCCATTTTTGTCTTATCTGAGCACTCAGTGGATCTAGTCCCTATCAGTATTTTGGGGGTTGGTTTGGACCCCCTATGGATACTGAAATCCTTACATGCTCTAGTCCCTTATAGAAAATGCCTACTATTTGCATATAACTCATGAATAGCCTCCTAGTTGAAATCCTCTCTACATTATCTATAATAGCTAAGTATGGAATTAGTTGTTAGACAGTATTGTTTAGGATGTAATGACAAGAAAAAGAGTCTAGATGTGTTCAGTACAGGTATAATTCTTTAAAATACTTGTTTAATTGTGGCTGGTTGAAATCACAGACTTGGAGTACTTACTGTGCTGCATTTTTGCATCGTTTTGTAATACACATAATCTTAGGCAGCTGGTGAGGCAGGAACAGGGGTTTGTTTGGTATTTGCAGCCCCTTGCGTGTTAGGTGAAGGTCTTGCCTCATCCTAAATCCCATCAAAGTCCAGCCTAAGAGGCTTAGACTGTTCAGACCTGCAACTTCACATTGAAAGAAACTGAGACACTGGTGTACAGGTAGGCATCCTCTCCCCTCACCTGTCTGCTTCACCCACCACCATTTCCAAAGGGAGCAGAATCAACCCTGGTTGAGGGGGTGTCCTGGCTCTCTCTGCTGATTGGATTATCCATGGATGGAAGCACTAGTGGGAGATTAGAGGAAGGGAGAAGATAGGTCATGGTATTTCTTTCATGCTCCCTCTCTACTGTGATTTCACATTTTGACATTAGCAGCACAGATCAGAATGGAGAAAATGGACTGACGAAAGGCACGTTGGCCACTTGCAAGATGGGAATTTCCGGATGTTCTATTGTCATGATTCAGCATTGTGACAGAGGCCAAGGCCAGTGACAAGATTGGGTTCTCCAGGCTTTTATGGTCAGAGTGTAAAAGACAATGGATCAGCTGGGCACTGGTGGCTCACACCTGTAATCCTAGCTACTCAGAAGGCTGAGATTGTGGTTTGAAGCCAGTTCAAGCAGGAAAATCCATGAAACTCATCTCCAATTAACCAACAAAAAAGTGGAGCTGTGGCTCAAGTGGTAGAGCCCTCACCTTGAATGAAAGAGCTCAGGGACAGAACCCAGGCCTGAGTTTATGACTGGTATGCACACATAAACACATACACGCACACACACACACATGCACGTGCACGTGCACACACACACACACACACACACACACACATCAGTGGATCAAAGCAGAAGGTCAGCAAGGACCAAGGCAGAAGGTCACCAGTATGTTCTCCCCAAACCACATCTCAATGAAAGAAAATTTTAGGTATAACACTTGACATAGTTGCTAATGCCATTTTACAAGTGTTAGTTCCTAGGATTCCATATCAACCTTTTTTAAATAGGAAAATTGCCTTCATCAAGGCCTCTGGATAAACTAAATAGGAAACTACATGAGAGCTTTTTGACACCCAGACTATAATCTTTCTAGTCTATGATTTGTCATTTTTACTGATCAGGGCTCTGTTCCCCTGGCTCCCCCACTATAAGCTGTGTGACTTTGGGCAAATGCCTCTTCATGACTCAATTTCTTTGACTACGTTCCTCTCATGGTTGTTAGTAAAACCACGTGGGAAATTCTCAGGGACTAGAATGAATTGTGTTTGGCGTTCTGCCTGGAAACCTAAGACTAGGTCCTGACCACAGCAGAAATGGATCATCTACCATGTGTGCAGACCTTTGGACAGAATATATGAGTCCTTGAACCTAACTCACACAAGGAGTGAGCCCTGAACACCTCTCCTGCCCAATGACTACATGACACATGCCACTTATAAGAAAATTAAAGCTATTGAAATAGATTTGTCACAGGGCGTAGAGAGGGAAGGAAGGGAAGGAGGGTGTGATTGGGAATTATGTGGAAGGGGATAGGTACTCCTGTGTCCAGAGTCTTGAGGTAAGAAAACCAGTCTGTCCTTTGTTAACCAGCTTTGTCACTCCAGGCATATTAGTACTGAGGATCTTTTTTCTTTCTTTCTTTGAAATGAAAAACATGGAATCATTTGTGCATTTTCATGTAGCAAGAAGGACTCTTGTCAAAACTGTAATTAATAAAGAGCAGATTAATGTCTGTACCACCTACACAATGGGACACAGTGTCTATTTTGCTGCTGGTTCTCTCTCTAATGCCCACAGGGCCTGGCCATGGCAGGTGCTCAATAAATATGAACAATGGCGCATACCCTGTCATTACTAAGGGGGTCTGGAGGCACACTACAGTGACAAAATGGTCACAGTGGTGGCTGCCGAGAGACCAGGCTCCAGGAAGTTGCTCTACAGCAGACAACAAGGAGTGGAGTACAAATGTGCCTGGTGGGCAGACTCAGGACTCCCTAAGGATTCCCTCTCTGGTGATGGAGGACCAAATGCACACTATCACTTCCATACCCCACATGTGGTCTTAGGTCCTAGGAGAAGGGCAACACTGGAAAGACCAATGGATATTACCAAAGTTTGGCTCTAAAAAATATTAACTGAAACAGGGAAAAACTCCAGTGACAGCCATTGTCTACACAAAAATACCAATAGTATCAAATAAACCCCCTCCAACAGTATCAAATACACCCCCTTGAAATTTGTTTTTGGCTGGGCGGCAGTGGCTCACACCTGTAATCTTAGCTACTCAGGAGGCTGAGATCTAAGGATTGTGGTTCAAATCCAGCCCAGGTAGAAAAGTCTGTGAGACTCTTATCTCCAATTAACCACCAGAAAACCAGAAGTGGGGCTGTGGTTCAAGTGGTAGAACACCAGCCTTAAGCTGAAGAGCACAAGGACAATGCCTAGGCCCAGAGTTCAAGTCCTACAATTGACAAAAAAAAATGTTCTTTGTATGTAACTGATGACTATCAGAGACATGTTATTTGGGAGGAAAACAAATGCCTGTTTACATATGTATCTTATGAAAGTATCAGAAAGACATGCCTATAATCCTAGCTACTTAGGGGGCAAGATTGTGGTTTGAAGCCAGCTTGGACAGAAAAATTCAAAAGACCCCATCTCTAATTAACCAACAAGGTTAAGCCAGTTTGGAGGTATGGTTCAAGTGGCAGAACAAAAGCCAAGCAGGGATAAGCCTCGAGTTCAAATTCCAGTATTGGCAAAAAAAATACATATATATATATATATATATATATATATATGTACATACATCTATGTGAATATACACATATAGGTATATATACTCATATGTGCATATTGCATTTTCTTAGATGGGGTTTTCAGGATCTCAGCCTTGTCCTTCGCCAGGCACTCACAATAGCTCCCCTTTTGAAAGGTATTTTACTTCCTTCTAGCTGTACTGTACAGTCTGTGTAATACTTTGGACATCAAGGGGTCACAGCCAGGGAGAGCAAGACAGGCCTCACACTCCACTAATGCTCTCTTCTTTCCTTCCAGTATGTGCCCACGAGACGAGCGATCACTCAGGGCACGGCAGAGCAGAGCAGCTTCCCTCCTCATCACCTCCCCCACCACCGTCACCACTGCCACCACCGCCATCCTCACCACCACGGCCGCCCCCACCATCTCCACCACCAGGAGGCAGGCATCCCTGCCCAGGTGATGCCCTGCATCTGCCCCCTGTTCTCCTGCCAGTGGGAAGGCCACCTGGAGGTGGTGGTACCCCACCTGCGACAGATCCACAGGGTTGACATCCTTCAGGGAGCGGAGATCGTCTTTCTGGCCACGGACACACACCTGCCTGCACCGGCCGACTGGATCATCATGCACTCCTGCCTTGGTCACCACTTCCTGCTGGTGCTCAGGAAGCAGGAGAGGCATGAAGGGCACCCTCAGTTCTTTGCCACCATGATGATGATCGGGACCCCCACCCAGGCCGACTCCTTCACCTATCGCCTAGAGCTCAACAGAAACCACCGGCGGCTCAAATGGGAGGCCACCCCGAGGTCTGTCCTGGAGTGTGTAGACTCCATCATCACCGACGGGGATTGCCTCGTCCTCAACACCTCGCTGGCCCAGATCTTCTCTGACAATGGCAGCCTGGCCATCGGCATTGCTATCACTGAGACAGAGGTCCAGGCCACAGAAGCGGAGATGTGAGGCCCAGAGCCACTGGACACTCACACACAGCCACCAGGGGGCTCTGCCAGTGCACCATGGACCTCCAATCAGGACACCAGACTCCTTTCTATTCTGCTTCCTTCCTTCCTTCCTTTTTGTTTTTTGGGGTTTTTTTTTTGGTTTGTTTTGGTCTCAGGTACTTTGTGGTATTTAGAATCTATCATGGACATTCTATTATGTCAACATCCCGTGATTAAGATTGTGTGACATCTGTCTTGTTTTGTTGGTATGTTTTATAGAACTTTTGTAAGATTTAACCAGAATAGTTATTTCCCACCTCCCCTCCCCCTCCCCAATTCTTTTCTCAACAGATTCCAAAAGAAGCAAAAGCACCATCCTGCCCATGAAGTATTTGTTGGGGTTGACAAGAGGTGTAGTATCCAAATGGCCTGTCCCTTCTCTTTTCAGTCTGTTTTAGACAGAACTAAGGCTATGTATGCAGTCGGCAGGATTAGGGAGGGGATCTGGGACAGCTTGACAATAGATGGTGTTTCTGACCAGCCCAGACACTGGCTGACAAGTTCCCAGCAGGAGTCTCTGGGTCAAAGTTCAGCTCATGAGAGGGCCAGTGTCTCCTCCAAGGACAGGAGAGTAGATGTCTCCTCATGCTGTTAAGTCTTCTGAGTTGATTTATGGCTGGGAATGGAGATCAGGTGCTGAACCTTCCTCTCAGGTTCCCAGAGACAGACCATGACGTCTCTTTTTAGTTCAGGAATTAAAAAGTCCTGAAGTTATTGGTGCTTTCTTGAAAATCCTTCTGCCCTCTATTGAGCAAGAAAGATGGGCATGATACAGGAGAAGAGAAGCAGCGGGGGGCGGGGGGGGGAGACTAAATTTAATCTCCCATTTCTGGGAAGGCAGGTACGCCCTCCTCAGAGAGTTTTATTATCAAATTATAAAATCCATCAATCCTCTTTTGTATCAGGCAAAGGACCGCTTGATTTTCAGTGCTCTGTAAAAGAGAAGTACCACTCAGCATCAAATATCAGGATCACAGACAGATATAACAAGGACCTTGGATTTGGAACCGTGGTCACATTGAGACTCCTCTTTCCTGTCCTTACTTTTGAAAATATTCTAAGTCTCCTTTTCAACATATCAACATCAGCACCACCCACATGTGTGCTCAGCACAGTTCGAATGAGAAAACAACAGAAATCAGTGGTTGTCAGAAAAATGCATCCACTTCTTTTTGCATGGGAAGTCCCCCATACATTTGGAGAAAGGAAACGTATTTAGTCAGCTTTGTCTTTCTGTTTTAACTTGGGTACTTTTAAGCCTTCCTAGCTGGATCCCTCCTCCTTTCAGTGTATCTGTCCTTTCCTTTCTGCAGCCCTCAAGATGCTGGACAAGCAATCCATGCAAATCACAGGCTGCATGCTCACTAGGGCTGAGCAGGCCTCCAGCCAACCCCTTTGCTCATCTCAGCCAGGCTGGCTGGATCCTGGCAGGCCTCCAACTGACTACTTAGTTTCAGGCAAATTACCCTAACTAGCCATGAGTAAATTTTTCTCCACCAAAAAGGATTCATCCTGAAACACAATACCCTTCCCCCAACAACTAAATAATTCTTCAGTCATTTTTGCTGCCAACCTACACCTCAAGCACCAGAAAGATGCCAGTTGGTAAAAGATTTGACAACACAGTCTGCAAGTCACCTAAGCATTGTTGGAACCCTGCGGCTGAGACTTCATTCTGAAAGAGCAGTGGTTGGGGGAGGGGGGGAGGGGAGGGGGAAGCCAAGTTTGCTCATAGACTGAGGCAAAAATCAGACTCTGTGGTCCCAAAGGAGTTGGTAGCTCTGTTTTCAGTGCTGTCAGATATGTGATCCCAGAGCCCCAGCCACCCACATCTGACCTCAAGGATGATGCAGGAATATCTGAGGCTGGTTGGTCCTCACATTGAGAAAGACCCACTGATAGTTAACAGTCTCTCCCCTAGCTTCTTATACTCACTTACATTGAAAACATTTGTGTACCATTACAGGTACCCCAGATAAGTGAACACATAAAACCTCAAGAATATAATAAATCCTCAAGAGACCTCAGGACTCCTGTACACATCACCTTTGCCTTCTTGTCCTGCCAAGTTACTGGAGTCAAACTGGAAACAACTTGAGGTTATTGTTATTGCATACATACTGTATTATGAAGATGTGGTCCCAGAAAGGAGCTTGAAAGTTGATTCCTTGAAAGCTTTAGAACAAAGTGTAGGAAGTATGTTGTTTTCTTCCATCTACGGTGCTCCAAGTAGCCTTTTTCTCCATATCCAAATGAACGAAAACCATAGATCATAAACTAACAACAAAGAATCAAGAATAGAAAGTGGTAACCCCAAAAATGTGAGTTTGAGCTATATAACTCCCAAAGGTCTCTCCCAATCATGTCTTAGATTAACTTTCATCAGTATCCTCAACCTGAAAAAAGGAGGTTCACAAACACGATATGACCTTCTCATGATCATATATGTGACTGGACCATACCCAAAAGTCAGGCTGGAGACTTGCTGTGCTCAAATTAGGAAGACTGACCACACACATTCAGCAATGGTCCCACATGAGAGTGGACTATGGACCTAGGAGCACTGGGTCTTCATCATGGTGCTGCAAGAAGGTCAGCACAGGCATCTCTATTCTTCCATTCCACAGGAGATGATTATCAGGCAGGACAAGAAGTGGAATAATGAAATATAGTCAATTAGAATTGAAAAAAGTGCTTTCAGAGGTAAAAAGTGAGTCCTCTCAGGAAGACAGTTTGTGATCTACTATATATACCCTAGCACAGGATTTTATTGAAGTTTAGAGGGCTTTGGACATTAAGTCCCTCCCCAAGGCTAGCCTACATGAGTGACTGACATGAAAGTTATTTAAAACAAAACTAAACAACAAAAAAAACCCATGTTGAGAATCCTTTGGCACATACTCTGGTGGTCAACTAAGAAAACTCTCTCAGCATAATGGATAAAGAAAATTTTAATGAGATTACAATGAGATTAAATATTGTCATGGTAGTGGTCAAAGTAGCCTATTTTAACTTATTTAGACCAGGCACAGTCTACTTCATGGTTGACCAGATGTCTCTCAAAGTAAAGCTACTCTAGTCAAGAGGATATAATAATTGTAATATCTTAAAGTTCATCTTAAGGAAGATCCTGTATCAGGCTTTCTTACCCATTTGCACTATGCTTCCTCTCATGAATCATTTTTTTACAAGGATGTATAGTCAAAAGCCTAGATCTAGAAAAATTTTGCTTTCAGCATATAAGAGAGAGAATAGCATTACTTGGAGAGGCATCTGTCAATCACAAAGTACACTGGCCCTAGGGAAGTGATGAGCAAGGGGCAGATGCTTCAGTGGTCCTGTTTTCTTTCTGTCTCCCTGTTTCTACAAGACTTCTCTTTCTTAAATTCCCAAAAACAGTGACCTAGGTTCTGGTGCTCTATTCACACCAAGGTGCTGCTACAGGTGCTAGACTTCACAATGTCCTCTAAAGGGTATTTACATTTTAGAAGACCTAAAATAGATATTTTCGTGGTTTATGCCTATAATTTTACTGCATAATCCCAGCACTTAGGGGGTTGAGGCAGGAGGAAGATCATGAGTTTAAGGTCAGTCTGTCTGAAGGAGAAGGAGGAGGAGGAGGAGGAGGAGGAGGAGGAAGAAGAAGAAGAAGAAGAAGAAGAAGAAGAAGAAGAGAAATATTAAACATTGAGAAGTGAGTTCCCACATTTGAATCAGCATCTGTAAGCAGTTTTTTCAGGAAGTGTACAGACAGGAGCAAGCCTTCCTATGAGGATGATCCTATGTGAATCATTGATGGTGAAAGAGAGGTCAGGCCATGCAAAGAATCTGTACCTTGATTAGACCTCCTCACACCTGAGGACTTTTAGAAATGGATGAGGATAACACTCAAGGCTGCCACTGATTAAAAGTTTAGTGTATGACCCAGTGGACTGAACATTTGGAATATATTTTCTCACATACGCTTCATAACACTGTTATGAAGCTAATAATATTTACTGTACCCTTGTCACAGGTAAGAAATGTTATGACAGACTATATAACTTTGTTTAAATTATCCAGCTAGCAAATAGAGCCAGCTCTACAGTTCTTGCTTCTGATCACATCTCCCAGGTCATTTCTATGAACTTATGGACTCCAGCCTCAGAAGTCCCGGTCATAAAGTCTGAATAGCATAAAAGTCTTTTAGTAGTTAGTACCAAGTGTTGCCTTTCATTTCTCATTTTTCCCCTCTTTTTTTTAAACCCAAGACTCAACATGTTCTAGGGCTGGCTTGTATTCCAGTAGTTAAATTTTTCAAAATTTTGCAAGCTGATCATTAAATGCAGCCATTATTAAAAATTAAATTATATAAACTTATAATTATAGAAATATAATTTAATACAATAAATTCTCACAACTCATCACTTCTTAATTATTTCATTGCTATTTATTTACTTAATTACTTGCTTATTTGGTTGTACTCAGGTTTGAATGCAAGACGTTGTACTTGTTTGAGCCATACACCTGGCCCTTCTTCTTTTTTTTTTGCTTTAGTTAATTTTCAGATAGGACCTCCCAGTTTTTGCCTGGGCTGGCTTTATCTATACTTACAGAGTGGCATGAGCCACTGTGCCCGGCCTTCACCACTCTTCTTATTTTCTTTTTTCCTGAGGTTATTTCCATCTACTAGCTGTATAAGATGAACATGTTATAAAATGATGGGCTGTAGCTCATCCTCAATATTCATTCAGTGACTTCATGGTGATAGTTTGAAATTAGCCAAAATGGTGGATGGACTTATACCCTGACAATTAGTAAATGCTGTAAGCCAGGGCTCCTCTCTCCACCCAGAAAGCTGGTTGCCAGTACATTACTATCTACACTTTGCTGATGCACAGAGCAGTTTGGGGAGAAGGGAATTTAGAAGGAGAAGCAATACTTTGATGGTCATGCTGACAGAAACAGAGATGATAGTCA